ACATATATGGGTGCTCCCATGTTGGGAGCATATATGATTATAATGGTTATATCTTCTTGTTGGATTGACTCCTTTATCATTATGTAATGTCCTTCTTTGTCTCTTGTTCTACTTTCTGTGTTTTGAAGTCTATTTTGTCTGATACAAGTACTGCAACTCCTGCTTTTTTCTGTTAGTTGCATGAAATATTTTTTTCTACCCCTTCACTTTTAGTCTGTATGTCTTTGGGTTTAAAGTGAGTCTCTTGTAGGCAGCATATAGAAGAGTCTTGTTTTTTCATCCATTCAGTGACTCTATGTCTTGATTGGTGCATTCAGACCACTTACATTTAGGGTGATTATCGATAGTATGTACTTATTGCCATTGCAGGCTTTAGATTTGTGGTTACCAAAGGTTCAAGGTTAATTTCCTTACTATCTAAGAGTCTAACTTAACTCACTTAATATGCTATTACAAACACAATTTAAAGGTTCTTTTCTTTTTCTCCTCCTTTTTCTTGCTTTCCATTCTTTATATATTAGGTATCATATTCTGTATTCTTTGTCTATCCCTTGATTGACTTTTGGGATAGTTAATTTAATTTTGCATTTGCTTAGTAATTAGTTGTTCTACTTTTTGTGGTTTATTACTTCTGGTAACAGCTATGAAATCTTAGGAACACTTCCATCTATAGCAGTCCCTCCAAATAGACTGTAGAGACGGTTTATGGGAGGTAAATTCTCTCAACTTTTGCTTATCTGGAAATTGTTTAATCCCTCCTTCAAATTTAAATGATAATCTTGCTGGATAAAGTAATCTTAGTTCCAGCCCCTTCTGCTTCATTGCATTAAATACATCATGCCACTCCCTTCTGGCCTGTAAGGTTTCTGCTGAGAAGTCTGGTGTTAGCCTGATGGGCTTTCCTTTGTATGTGATCTTATTTCTCTCTCTGGCTGCTTTTAATAGTCTATCCTTATCCTTTATCTTTGCCAATTTTATTACTATATGTCTTGGTGTTGTCTTCCTTGGGTCCCTTGTGTTGGGAGATCTGTGCATCTCCGTGGCCTGAGAGACTAACTCCTTCCCCAGATTGGGGAAGTTTTCAGCAACTACCTCCTCAAAGACACTTTCTATCCCTTTCTCTCTCTCTTCTTCTTCTGTTATCCCTATAATGTGAATATTGTTTCATTTAGATTGGTCACACAGTTCTCTCAATATTCTTTCATTCTTAGAGATCCTTTTTTCTCTCTGTGCCTCAGCTTCTTTGTATTCTTCTCTAGTTTCTATTTCATTTATCATCTCCTCCACCATATCCAACCTGCTTTTAATACCCTCCATTGTGCTCTTCAATGACTGGATGTCTGACGGGAATTCATTCCTGAGTTCTTGGATATCTTTCCTTACCTCCATTAGCATGTTGTTGATTTTTATTTTGAACTCCCTTTCAGGAAGAGTCATAAGGTCCATGTCATTTAAATCTTTCTGGAGTTATATTAATTTTACTCTGGACCAGGTTCCTTTGGTGTTTCATATTTGTATATGGCGCCCTCTAGTGTCCAGAAGCTCTACTCTGGAGCCGCTCAGCCCCTGAAGCATTGTTGGGGATTGCAGGGGAGTTGTACGGGTGCCTGGGGGAAGGAAAGAGCTGTTTCCTGCTTTCCGGCTGCTATGCCTGTCTCCGCTGCTCAAACCAGTGTGCCAGGCACACAGGTGTAAGCTTTTGTCCCAGAGCAGCCAGATATGGATCCCTGCTTCCGCAAGCAGCTGGAATCTCAGTCTTTCAAGGAATTCTGCCTGTATTAGCTTTCCAACCCCATAATCATGTGAGCATCATGAAAGCACCATGAAATGTAGGTTTGTGCTCCTAGAGCAGATCTCTGGAGCCAGGTATTCAGTAGTCCCAGGCCTTCCACTCCCTCCCTGCTCCATTTTTTTTTCCTCCTGCTGGTAGGCTGGGGTGGGGGAAGGGCTTGGGTCCTGCCCGGCCACAGCTTTGGTATGTTGCCCTATTCCTTGAAGTCTGCTCTTTTCTCCAGGTGTATGCAGTCTGGCACAGTCCTCTTTCCTGTTGCTCTCTCAGGCTTAGTTGCACCAACTTTATTTTCTAGTTGTATACGGTTTTAGGAGGAAACCTCTTTCTCTCCTCACACTGCCATCTTTAATCCTCCTCTCAGCTTGATTGATCACAAAGATATTTTAAAGTTATTAACAAAAGTAGTAATTTGAAATGAGATGTGAATGGAAAGAAAAGAGCGGAAAAGGTCAAGTATGGAACTGTGAAGAATTTTAACTACTTTGAGGGCAAAAGGAGGCATTCAAGAGCAGAGAAGGTAATTTCTCAGTGTTACAAGTATTAGGAGAGATTAGTGTCTCATAAACCAGGGATATAGAAAATTTCTACTAAGGAATGGGTAACAATGTTACATGCAGTAGGGAGATCCTAAGATGTTAGAAAAACATCTGCTTTTGTAGGCACCCTGAAGACAGGTACTATGACTTACTAATTTTGTATACTTAGTGTCTAGAGCAATGACTAATACAAGGTAACTGCTCCATAAATGCTTATGCAATGTTACTGATGTGGCAATCACTTTCATTAGTAAAATAATAGTCTTACCCAAATGATTCAAACTTGAAAATGTGTGAGATATTGTTGGTGTTTTTCCAAGGGGGCTTTTTGCCTTAATCCAGGCTAAATTTTAATTTAATAAAATAAAATAAAGGAAATGTAAAATCTTATCAATGCAATAAAAGAGTAAAAAAATGATTTTAAAACAACCACACACAAAGTAAGGTGGGTAAATAAATATAACCAAAAGGTTAGTGTCACAGTATCATTGTCAGAAAAAAAAAAATGCTATATGGACTAGAGGAATCTTATGGAAAAATAAAAAGAATCAGTTCACCCAGAAACTACATCCAGGGTGAAGAGTAGTAGGGTGAGTCAAACTGAGGTGACAGGTGTTATGCAAGTACAGAGTAGGATTTTATTTTTTTTATGATTGTTAAAAAAAAAATGCTATATGGACTAGAGGAATCTTATGGAAAAATAAAAAGAATCAGTTCACCCAGAAACTACATCCAGGGTGAAGAGTAGTAGGGTGAGTCAAACTGAGGTGACAGGTGTTATGCAAGTACAGAGTAGGATTTTATTTTTTTTATGATTGTAACATTTTATTCATCATAAATTTTCCATTTTCATTTTAAAAAATACTGCCTGAAAACATTACCTCGATTGCTTAGCTTTTTGAGCTCCCTTTTAAATCTTGCACCCTGAGGGTAGTGCCTCACTCTAATCCCGGCGGTGGGCCAGGAGGGCACCTGTGTGTATCTGAAAATATAACCCCAAGTGATATCTGAAGTGGACAAAATCGCAAGGAAAGATCGTAACATAATCCCAGCAACACTAAGATTTTTTTTTTTAGCATGTCCGCATCTGAAAGAGAAAACTCAATTTAAAAAACGGATTTTTTTCCTGCAGCCGGGAAGGGTAGCTGCAGGAGCACAGGCCTGGTGCTGGGCGCCCGGGTCCGCTGCCCGCGCGGCAGAACCGCGGCCCCGGGACTGACGGGCGGCCGAGGGGAATCCAGGCGGCGCGGGCAGGTGCCTGCAGTTCCAAGTCGCGGCGGAACAGGCTCGCGTTGGCGGGTGCCGGTGGCCCCGTGGCCCCGAAAGTCCAGCCGCCACGCGATGGTGCCTCGACCCCACCTTCCCCTGCGAGTCCTGTTACACTTGGGCCGCCTCCTCGCGTACGTCCTCTCCGTGCGCCGCACGCACCACACACCTGCTAGGAAAACGCCGCCCGACCTTTCCAGTGGCGCCAAGCAGGTGGCGCAAGAACAGACACGGGGAAAGCGGCGGGCTATGGGCTCGAGTTCCACACGCGCCCCAGCCTCTCCTCGCTGCCGCCTCCCGGCCCTCTCCGCCCCTTCTGGAGCTCGGGCGCGGGTTCCGACTTCCGCACCGACGCATCCGCTTCCCCACGGCCGCCACGGATACAGACACGTGAGCGCGACAACCGTAAAGCGCCGCGACGTCGTGCTTTTGTCTTTTTGTTTGGTTTCGTTTCCTGATTTTGTTTCGCTAGGTTCGTGATTTGAACTCTTATTTTTTCGTGTGTGTTTTTAATAAGTGCACGTAGGCTGAATTTAACAATATCCTACTTCTTACAATACGCAGTACTTCCGCTGTTTTGCAGAATGTTTTGATTTCCTCCTTAGCCTATGAATTGAACTTTCTAGTTTCAAAACAGGTTATTTGTAAATTTTTAAACGTTTTATGTTATTCAGATCCAGACTTAAACAGTTACTTTTCACAGGAACCCCCTCTTCGAACACTATATAAGAATGATAAAGGGGTTTTAGCTACAGACAATGCTGTGCAACCATGTGATGGAAGGAAGGACAAAAAAATCGATTCCTTCTACCCTTCTAGGTTCTTGACTGGGGCCTATGTAACAAAAGACAGATTAACAAAAGAAAAGCATACAAACTTATTTAATACAAGTTTTGCTTGGCACGGGAGCCTTCATAACGAAATGAAGACCCAAGAAGCAGTTTTAGCCAAGGCTCAGATATTAAGTTGGGCACAGAGTGGACACATGTGAAAACGTGACAAGACAAAGGGGTTTGGGTTAGGGCACTTAATCATGGAAAAGTGACCAGGAAAATAATGGTTAGTTTAACAGGGTTGGTTTGTACATTTCTCTTGGCTTCACCTTCCCCTGCTGTGGAACAAGGAACAGTGGAGTAAGACTGCTCACTCCCTCAGAGGGCGGGGTGAAGTGATAAAAACGCCTTTCTTCCTCCAGGTGCAGGGAGGCTACCTTTTACTCGTTTTTTTTTTCTTCCTGCTTTTAGGAAGGTCAGAGTGCCCCTTTTGCCTATGCTGTTTTTTTGTAAGTGACTTTAACTTTAAATAATCCATATGCCAGAGTGGTATATTCTGAACATCTTCAGTGAAAATAAATTAGAAATTGTAGATAAAATGGACAATTTCTTAGAAAACTAAGAATTGACTTTAAATCAAAATTGACTTAAGATACAGAAAATCCAAAGAAGCAAATAGCTATTAAAGAAATTAAATAAGAGTTGAACATATTTCCCTCAAACAGACAGCAGGCCTAAATGTTTTTTGATGTTTTGCCAAACACTGGAGGAACAGACAATCCTTATCTTATACAAAATCTTACAAATAGCAAAGAACAGAGAAGGCTACCTCATCTGTTGTTGAGATTAATATTATCTTAATACACCGAACATTCAAGGGTGATATCAGGGGATAAAAATATGCACTACTTTTATTTATGAGCACAAATGTAAAAATCTAAATATATAGCAAATCAAACTCAGGATTCGTATAAAAATTAATACATTATGAGCAAGTATGGTCCACCCAGGATGGCAAGGAAGAAACAAGATTAATCCATCATATTGATTTAAAATTTATGTTGAGTTTACAATGGGCTAGGCACTTTTCTAGGCATTTAGCAAAGTAATAAAGGAGAAAAGCCTTTAATTCTTATACAGGAATTGAGAAGGAAGAGATAAAATCATCTATTTATCTAGAAAACTAAAGATTATCTACCCCAAACTATTACAACTAAGAAAGTTCAGCTAAGTTGCTGGATATAAGATCACCATAAAACAATCAATAGTGTTCTTATACATCGAAAATAACTAATTAGAAAAAGTAATTTTTAAAAAGACCATTCACAGTAGAACAAAACCTACAAGCTACCTAGGAATAGTTCTAAGATCGGATATACAACAATATTGAATCATTTTCTTCATAAAGGTCTTGAAGGACATCAAAGAAAGCCTGAATAACTAGAGAGAAAATTCCATATTATGGATGGAAGAGCACTATTTTCCACATGTCAAGTCTCCCAGAATTTAGTTATTTGATCTATTCTCGTAGAGCAGTGGTTCTTCAAGTATGTTTCCAGAATTAGCAGTATCCCTATCATCTGGATAGTTGTTAAATGTGCAGATTTTCACACCTCACTCCATACCTACTAAATCAGAAACTTCAGGTGGGAGAGGGATTGACAGCAATCTGTGGTTTAAAAACCCTCCAAATGATTCTGATACAAGGAAAGGTTTGAGAACCACAGCCCTAGAGAGACTCTCACACAAGCCCCAAGGAGACTACAGAAGAGCAAGCAAAGCAGAGCCTAGTGCTTTAAAAAGTGCCAGACTGTCTGCATTCACCATTTCTTGGCCCTTTAATTTGGCGAAAGTTACATAACTTTTCTTTATATTAGTAAGCCATCTCTAAAATGGGGATAAATATAGAACCTTCTGCATGTAGTTGCTGTGAATTAGTTACTTCGCCTATGGCAGTTCCTGGCACAGAGTAAGCACTCAGCAAGTGTGGCTTCTTATCATTAGAATGTTTCTTGCAGCCTTGCTTGTTAACAGTAACGTATTGGAAAAGGATTTCTTAGAAATAAGACTGAAAGCAAACATAGGAAAGAATTAAAATTTGTAAAATTTGGATGATGGGCATATAGGTGGTTTTGTCATTCCTGGTCGTTTTCTGTGTGTTGAAATGTTTCACAAGCAAAAGAAAATAGTAGTAATGCCATCAATTATCTATTCACACTTAGATTTCCACAGAAGAGTGAGTTTAAGTAAATCATCATGCCTTGATAAAATGTTCCCATAGAAACAGGTTACTGAATTTGTGTTCTTGTAATAAAATATAAGGTAATCTAGTCCCAATCTAGTTTTCATATCTTCCTCCTACAACTTGGATTCACAAATTCTGTAATTCCAACCAACTTTGTATAAATTCTTGTCCTACTTTTGTGCCTTTATGCCCATTGTCTCCTCTACATTTACTGCCCTATTCAAACTCTGTCTTTCAAGTGCCCAGCTCAAATACCACCTCTTTGGTAAAGGTGTACCCGAATCTCTGTTATAATTTCTGTAGGTGGTCCAGACCCTCATATTCCTCAGATAGATTCTGCCTTATGTTAGAAATGTTTTCTTCCAACTTTCACACCTCTTACACTGTAGCGAATCATGCTTTATAATGGAGCGACAAAGATTGATACAACCCCCAAAATATTTGAAAAGGATTCAGATATTAACTTCAATTCACTGATTATACACATCAGATGCCACCCATAGAAATTGTATGATTTGGGCTTCACTGGCCAGTGAAGGGAAATTATGATGTTCTGAATCCCCACGTTCTTGCCTAGCAGTAATTGCAAGTTTTTCCCAGTATTCCGCAACCTAAACATTCTTGACAATTCTCAAAGTGTGAGCCCCAGAGAAGGGTCCTTTTCTTCTGAGAGTCGGGAGGAGGCAGTCTGGTAGGGTAGGGAGGCCAGTGTCTCCCATCATCAGAGCCCCTACCAGCAGTTATGTGGCTCTTCTGCAAGGCAGCTACTGTCGACCCACTCCCTGCCCACTGGTGGCCTCCCACTTCCTCCAGAGGACAGACCTGAGGCCAGTGGGATGCATATACTGCTCTCATAAATCACCTCTGAAAGGAGATCCCCCCAGGGGGAGCAGGTTAAGCCTCACAATAACCCGCAGATCCACTCTGCAAGTCTTTTTCTTATTTGTGATAATTTTCACGTTATTTCCCTCCAGGGAACCCCTACTCCATCAGACAAGTCTGTGCTTGTGTGAACTCCAGTTTTGGAACAGAAGCAAGTTCTTTCTCTTGGGGTTCGTGGTCTTATGGAACGGTAGTATAGGGTGGTCTGTGGGGACGCTGAGCTTCCCTGAGCTTATCAGTTTGCTTCCCCAACCAAATAAATGTTTTATCTGAATAAAAACTGTGTAAATGCAAAATAAATGTCACCTAATCCTTTTCACCCCTGTTGCCACCCCTAAATCTCTCCTATATGGAAATTCTGGATCACTGTTAAAAGCAGAGAAAGTTGGAGACCTTTCCTTAAAAATGGAAATATTCTGACAGGAGGCTGTATGAAAAAGCCTCTAGGGGATGATGTTACCTATAAGAATCTTACCATTGCCCTAGCGCACACTACCCAGAAAACATTCTTCCTTTTGCACTTTCAAAGGACTCTATCTTCCTAGCCTTTTTATTTCCAGCCACCTCGGGAAATCTGCCAAAGTGTAATAAGTGCTGGCCTCCCTCTTGCCTTTGATAGTTAATCTCATATAGATTAAGTGTTCTTCAGGTGAACCCATCCTATCTTTGAGAAATGCAATCTACTTTACTAAATACACACAGGTCCTGTTTGCTTTTCTGGCTTAAAACTATTCCTTGAATTGATGTTAGCACTCAGATGACTCAAATTCCTAAACACACAGATTTGCCTATGATTCTTAATTCCCACAGTGCTTTTGCAAGTCCATTTTTATAGTTGCTTGGGTCACAACTAATAGTAGTGGTCTGGGTATTAGCTCTTTGTACCCCCAGAGTCTAGCATGGTGATTCACTATATAAAAAGCCATAAAAATAGGTATTAAGTCATGATTTACTCTATAGGAATTCACATAATAATTCTTACATAGTAAAATGGGTGAATGAATGGGTAGTACATAAATGAACTCAAAACTTTGGGGTATTACAAGAGTTTTACTTGGAGAATAGGCATCACAGTGTAGTTAAAGAAACTATAGTTTTAGGAAATAAATGCAGTAATAAACAGGGAGTGTTCTGTTCTATAGCTCTTTAATAAACATGAAATATAGTTCACATACCATAAAATTCACCATTTTGAAGTGTATGATTCAGTGGATTTTAGTATATTCATAAATTGTACAACCATCACTGCTGATTCCAGCCAGTGTCATCACTCCAAAAAGACACCCTGTCCCTGTTAGCAGGCACTCCCTGTTCCCTACTACCTCAAATCCCTGGCATCAGCTAATCTACTTTCATCTCTATGGATTTGCCACCTTCTGAACATTTCATATAAATGGAATCATACAATATATGGCCTTTTGAATCTGGCTTCTTTCATTTATAATCTCATTGCACTTTGAACATATCTCTGTTAACACTTATTTTGCTGTGTTAATGATTATTTGTTTACCTGTCCACCTCCCACTGGACTATAAAATATTAAACATCACAGTAGCAGAAACTACATCATGTTTATTTCAACATTTCTAATGCAGAGTTCAGGGTCTGGCACAGAGTGGACACTCAATAAATATTTGCTGACAAAATGATGGTTTTCTTATTCCAGCAAGTCTGGTTGGGGGTTGGTGTTTGGATGTGCCTCTATACACACTCCTTATGTGCATAACAAAATGCAGAACCCCTTCCTGGATCCAGATTGAGAGGAAAGAGGGACATCCTTGTGGCATAAAATAGCTTGCCCTGGGAAAGTTAAACATTTTTGTCATATGGGCTGCTGCAGACGTGCATAGCAGTTAAATTAAAACAGAAGTGAGCTGAGCAGAACTATGAATACTTTATATCACTTACCTGGGTATATTTCAACCACACCTATCAATTTAAATGCATAGCTTAGAAGGTATTAAAGGCATACACTTTTGTAAATCAATTTAGTAGATATATAATCAATATATATTTGGGTATTATATGTATTTTCTAATTTCCTGAGAATTATATATCAGACTGATGCTAAGTTGTTATTGTTCCTGTCACATTAGTGTTGCTCTCTTTTCTTTGCCTCTGGGTAACACAAGCTCCTCCCAGCTTGACCTCCTGCCCTCGTCACTTGCTTAGCAATATAAAATGGGTTTTCCTAAAACCCTTCTGTCTTCTCAAATCTTTAATATTCCCCATTTCATAAAAGCTAAACCTTTTTGACTGACATTCAAGGCCTCAGTGGTGTGACCTCCTTCTACCTCCCATCACTCACTTTCCTAGCTACTCAGTTCAGACAAGGTGGCTTATTTTTCTCTGTAATCTAAGTGCATCTTCGGCTTCCCTGTCTCTAAAGGACCATGCACGTCCTTTAGTCTGGACAAGTCTTCTCCATTTTCCTCCACCATCAAAGTCCTTCAATTTGCAGCAAAGTCCTTCCCCAGTAGGAAATTTTCAAACCCACTCCAGGGGCTCCCCCAGATACAGTGAGTTCTGGGAAATTTCCTGCCCCAGGTCTGCATTCACAAAGCCCTGGGTATTTGCTCCTTGCTTGAGTGGATTCACATTCTCTTTCTCCAGAATCTTTGAGATGAGAGCCAGGCCATTTTGCTACTATAAGACTTAACATTTTCTCTTTTCCCCTTTTAGCCATACTTCCCATTGCCTCCAGCTGTTGCACCGAGGTTTCGCATCATATTTCCCGGAGGCTTCTGGAAAGAGTGAACATATGTCGCATTCAGAAAGCTGATGGGGATTGTGACTTGGCTGCTGTTATGTGAGTGCTCTTCGGCAGGGCTGTGTTAATCTGTGCAGTGGTCATTTCTCGGCCAGTGATCAGTAACCGTTGGGAAGGCTTTGCCTGCTAAATGACTTACAAACGATCATTTAAATGAGGGAGGGGACAGTAAACATTTCTCCTGTCCTACCCAAGCGCCCTGGGGGGAAGCACAATCTGTGCTGGGCTGACCAAAGCCCCACACTAGCCTCTGCTCCTGCCCTGCAGCACTGGGACTTTGGCTAATGCGTCAGTCTCTGGGCAAGTGTAACACTTTCCTAAGCAAACAGGGGACCTTCTGAGTGAAAAAACAGAACACAAATAAAAAAAGAAGGTGGCTCTATTCTATCTCATGGCTTCTACTATAACTTCGTCCAGGCAAGCATATGGGTTGCTATCAATTTTATTCTCTGAATTTATCAGGAGTGTAGCAAAGGTTCAAACAGAAGTGCAGAGAGGTCTGTACCTGTCACAAGTGCTGCCTGCAGTTGAGCACAAATGCCCTTTTTTTTTTTTTTTCCAGCTTTATTGAGGTAAAATTGACAAATGGAAATTGGGTATTTTTAATCTATACAACTGATGTTTTGCTGTATGTACACATCATGAAATGTTCACCACAATCAAGCTAATTAATATATCAATCACCCCAGCCTCCAAGATTATCGTTTAAACAAATGCTCTCCTTTGCTTTTGATTCTGGGCTCTTGACTCATGGTGAGCCCTCTCACCCCTCCTACCCTCACCCCTGGCGCAGTTATTAAAAACTTTAGACTTCTATGTACTTAACATTCCCTGGAGTCTTCAAGATCTGCAATGCACTCTGACAACAGTGCCATGAGGAAGGCATAAATTATCTCCAAGCCACACGAAGGAGAAAGCTGTACCTGAGGGGAATGCATAGTTCACCTGGTGACTACAGCTAGTGCATGGCAGAAGTGGAATGTGAACCCAGGTCTCTTCCTTCAGAACACTGTGTACTTCCAAAGCCTCTCAAAAGTGTTGGTGGGAGTAACCAGGAAATCCTTTCTCCAAACTCCATTGCATCCCACACCTTCCAATCATAATGACAGCATATTAGGCATCTCCCTGGCATGCTGGTTTTAACACCGCTTAGGGCTCCAGGCAAGGCTAGTGAGTCCATTTGGTGTCCCCTTCTTTGGCCTATAAATAAGCCCATTGCTTAGGCCTGACTTCCTGAGTCACTGGGGAGCCTCTTTATTTAGTCAATGAATTCAACAAACATTTATTGATTAGCAATTACATACCAAGCACTGTTCTGTCTGCTGGGCCAACAGGGACAAAATAGACTCTGCCCTCCTAGAGTTGCCAGGAAACTATAGCTGGGTCCTGAAGACCATCCTCTGAGATTCAAGATACACTCTTTTCCCTTTCAGAGGAATCCATCCATTGCCCAATTTTGGGAAATATTGCTTCAAGGCAAGGATCTTAGAAGTTCGGAGGAAGAGTTTATAAGATATCCACGAATAGGTGGGCATTCACAGCCCTGAAGCTTGTGGATCCTCTGTCTATATCCCCCCAGCACTTTTCTGGGGAGAAAGTCCATAGATTTTATAAGATCCTCAAAGGGATGTTAGATCTAATAAAGTTTAAAAATCACATTCAGAGTTAGATGTGCAGAGGAAGACAATTCCCGGCCCAAACTTTTAGTAAGCATGGGCATCTCTGTGGGAGAAGGGGGAGGACCGCAAACTCTGCCAGCATCTCCTCAGCTCATGCCACTGTCCACTGGCTCCCGTGGTTCAGTGCCCGGGAGCCAGTGGGCCCTGTGGCAGTCTAGGAAGTGCTTCGTCCTGTGAGGTGTGCTTCAAGTTTCAACTTCTTTGAAAACGTTTCATTAGTATATGCCTGGCCAAGATTCTGTCAGTCTTTAATCTTAATAAATAGTGCTGGTAATAGTAGGGGAGTGGAAATGTATGGGCAGTTCATAAACAATGCTCTGGGAAATTGGGACCAGCTGGATATTTGTCAGGTCTGCCTAGCTGAACTAAATCAGCCAGGGGCTGCTCTGGCTGCTCTCAGAAAGCCCACCTCTCAACTTGCAGTCACTTCCACCTCATTGGCATATGTCACCTCAGACTCAAGAAGGCTTCAGAACTTGAAAGGGCTCCCATCAGGTTCCCAGGAAGGCATGAGGAATGGACCAGAGGAGGTTCCCGTATGTGTGTAAGAGTAAGGGGCAGATGCTAGTGATTAGCAGGGGACCCTGTCGGTAATAGGATTTTCAGAGAAGTTTCTTTGGGGGTAAGTAGGTATGAGCTAGGGATCTAAAATGTATGGGAACAGAAATGATGTAAGTCCTCACTTAGATAAGGGAAAATATAATAAAAAACATGAGTCTTCATTTGGAAAGGACTCAGTTTTAATTAAAGGGAAACTGTGAAGCTAATCACTTGGATCTAAAAATACTTTATTCAAGTACCAGTTTATAAATTGACCTCACTGCACTGATAAGACAGCTGAAAAATACAGGGTAGTTATGATCCAGTCTCAAATTAGGTCTCAAATGAAATTTGACTAGGTAATATTTTTTTAATCATAAATTACAGATCTCTGTTGTGTTTCCTGACATAAATAGATAAAACTCCTCTAGTTTTCAAATTGTTTTGCTAAAGAACATATCTTTACTTATCCGAAATATAGTCCCTTAACTTTGTGTGTAAAGACTCTAAAGTTTGAGACAAGTGTTTGAGGTGCAGAAAACATTGCAAGTGTTAGAAATATAATTCCCAAGTAGCATGTATTATTAATCACAACTAATATAAATTAACTTACAGTGAAGTCAATTACATTTCTTTCCTTTTCCTTTTCTGCCTAGAAATAGGTCTTTTGTCTCACACCCTATATATGATCATTGTAATTTTTGACATCTGAAACAGCAGGTTTCTTGTTTAAACCCCTCTGCAGTGACTTCATTTAAGAGCTTCTGGCTCTTTCTAAACATAAATACAATGTAATGTTGTTTACCTTGGACAGAGGATTGAGGTTTCTTGAATCACATAGACAGTATCTGGTGGGAAGAAAATTTGAGGGTATTAAATAAAGTCATCTGGAAGGTGTGAGTAGTTTTTCAAAAGTGGTTGTGCATAGAGGGACAGGTAAAGAAATAAAATTTAAGGAATAGGTATAGGTCTAACCTCCATGGTGGGGCCACCCCTTTAGGTCCATTGGGCTGTCCCCAGCTGCACTATTATGGTAAAAGAATCAGGGGATCGCCTTATGTTTTCTCACAGTCAAACCCTCCACCTAGAAATTCACAATGGGGGTGGGTTGGTGCCCATGGGAATACTGTGGAGTTAGGGGCCTCCCTGCCCACATTACCTCGTCTGTTTATCCTGATGGAATGCACATGGGATCCAAGCGGAGGTTTAAGCAGTCTTTAAACTTGAGGATTTTATAAGCATCATAGCATCTTGGAGCATCTTGGATGTGGGAGCTGTAATCTGGTAGCTGATTTTGTCCCTTGTATTACACTGAGAAGCTGAGGCCTCAGTGGATGGGCTGCTGAAAGGGCCCCCCTGGGAGCTGCTGTCTGTTTTCCTGTGGCTCTCCTCCTCCTTGGGTCTTCTGTCTGTGTTCCCCAAGCCAGTTCTCTCCTCAGCCATTGCTCATCCCTGAAGCCGCTCACTCCCCTTGAAATCCTGGCGCTGAGTCCTGCTCCTCTCCTGTGTAACCTGTGGGCTTGTCTGGAGGGCAGTGGAGTCTTTCTCCACTGGATGGTGGCTCTGATTCTTGCTGACACCACAGGGAGAGAAGAGGGTTTTAGTCCTTTGGAAGGGGTAGAACTCCTCAGCTCTTTTTGATTGTTTTTTTTTCTTCTTTGTATTAATGCCACAGCCAGGTTTTCTCCTCTAAAGCTAAAAAGGAGGCCAGCTGGCCAAAGTGAGAAGCACCTTTTCTTTTGAAGACCTCTCAAACCAAGACACTAGAGAATGTATTGTCCTCCTATTAAGATACCTCAGTTCCTTCAAACAAAATGGCAGCAGACTCAGAGACTCCAAGAATGAACTAGTGGTTACCAAAGGGGAGGGGTGTGGGAGGGCGGGTGGGGAGGGAGGGAGAAGGGGACTGAGGGGTATTATGTTTAGTACACATGGTATGGGGGGTCACGGGGAGAACAGTGTAGCACAGGGAAGGCACATAATGGATCTCTGGCATCTTGCTGCACTGATGGACACTGACTGCATTGGGGGATGGGTGGGGACTTGATAATATGGGTGAATGTAGTAACCACATTGTTTTTTCATGTGAAACCTTCATAAGAGTGTATATCAATCATACCTTAATAAAAAATTTTTTAAAAAAAGATACCTCAGTTCCTTCAAACTTAGATTCCCACATGCTGGCTTTATTATGCTTAAGCTCCTTCAAACCTTTGTCAACTTTTCCTCCCTTTTAAGAGTCCCAACGTTAGCTGGTGATTCCTCCTGGTCATCTGGAGCAGTAGCAGCCTACCTTCTATCCCCCAGGGCTTCCCCCCAAATAACAGGATCAGGGGGTTCAATTTATCCAGACACAGACCCAGCAGGATTTGCAAGATTTTATAAGATTGGATGGCATCTATTGGAAATTAAAAGTCGCATCTCTTGTAACAAGAAATTCTTCTGGTTACCAGAAATTGTAAATTCTGCTTTAGGGTTCTCCCACCCCCATGTCAACATTTGCTATGGAGCAAAGAAAATGAAAACAAAATATGAGATGTTCTATAGATTGATATTATATTAAAATGTTAAAAAAGCCTAGAATGTTTAATATCCCCCCTTTTCCCCCTCCTGCTCCCCACTCCCCATCCTCTCCTCTCCCTCCTCCTCTTCCAGTTCCTTCTTCTTCTCCTTTTAGTACTCTCTGCTGACGTCTGAGGAAAGCAGTGTAGTAAGTTTAACTTCACCTTGCGGTGCTCAGCTTTAGGACTCAGTTTCTAAGAGGACGCTGTATCTAAATGGGGGAACTGCCTGTGAATCACTACGTTTTTACTTGCACTTTCTATCAGTGATGTTTTTCTTTCCTTCTTGGCAGCCTTCATGTCAAGCACAGAAGAATCTGTGTCAGCCCGCACAATCATGTTATGAAGCGGTGGATGAAAGAACAAGCAGCCAAGAAAAATGCTAAAGGCAGCATTTGCCACAAGAGGCAACACCACGGCAAGGGGAGCAGTAAAGGGGCACAGCAGGAGAAGCAGAAAGTACACGGCCATAAAACTCCCTATTAGCGGGGTTACAAGTGAATCCACACAGATGATTCCTGAGGTGAACGCGGCCACGGCTGGTCATACACTGATCACGTGAATGTTCCTTACTAGGAGCCATCAGTGCAAAACAAAATATGTGTATTTTAAGAAAACAAGTGCACAGTATGCAAATGTAGGCTGTACTATACTCAACAATGAAAAGATAGTATGTATCTTTATATAATATTTCAAGAGAAGTATACAGATACATTCTTCCAATTTTTTTATTATGAAGTTTTACAAAGCTACAGAGAAGTTGAAAGAATAATACAATGAAACCTGTATACCTTTCACCTAGATTAGTAATTATTAATATTTTGCCACACTCAATTCCTCTCTTCTTTGTGTATATATAAAACATTATATATACATATATAAATAATTTTTTGCTAAACCATTTGAAAATAAGTTGTGAACATCATGCTACTTAACTCCTAAATCTTTTTTAGTGTTACAACTTAGCATCCCTCAAGAATAAAGACATTTTCTACATAATCCCATTATCAGCTTTATATCTAACAAAAATTCCATCATATTTAATATATATATATTTATACACACACACACATACGTATGTATGTATGCCACATTTAAATTCTCCCAACTATTTGCAGAGCATTTTATATAGGTTTTTATTTCAGTTAGGCTTCAATTGATTGTTCTAGTTCTTTAGTATCTTTTAATCTAAGAAAGCCCCTCTGCTTTTTTTTCTTTTCTTTCTTTCTATGGTATATACTTTTTGAAAAAGTTTAGGGCCAGAATCTGTTCTACATTCTGGGTTTGTTTTCTCTTGATCACATTCAGGTTTAACATTTTCGGTAAAAATGCTTTCTATGTGAGTTTGTGTATTTCTTACTGCATGCATTGAGTTCATGAACATTGAAATTCATTTTCGACAGAAAGTTTTAGCTGAATATCGCTTTAAAACATCTAGTGTAACTACTATTGTTTGCATTGATAAATTCTGATGATGAAAAAATAATGTCTGCTTTGCTCTGCCAACCACAGTCATTTCTTGGAGCACTAGGGGGTTGCCCAGGCTTGGGTTGCTTGTGGGATGATTTTACACTTTCCTGACCAAAGAAGTCTGCATCTTTCAACTCCTAATCCACGTTTCCCACTCCTGTGGGTCGATTCCCATGGCATGGCTCCTCTTTTTGTCTCCTTATTGTCCCCAGAGTCTCCGAGATGTAGAGTAAGACTGAGCTTCCATAGCCAGCCATCAGATGGCAGGCACAGGGCCCACTTTGCCAGGTGTCAGGTGTCTTGCACCTCCCTGCTGGTGGGTTCCAAGCAATGGTGTTGCCAGGATGACTTGGAGGTAATAATGGGGCACACAGAGGAACTGAGCCTGATGTAGGTTAAAATATCACCAAATAGTTTTTTCCTAATACTAATTTAGCATGTGATTTATTTGTTGTCAAATATTGATATTTCTACTTTATGGATGAGGAACTCAGAGGTTCTTAGAGGTAAAATGACTTGCACAAGGTCAGAGGGAATGGCAGAGACAATCCCCTTCCCAGTTCTCAGATCAGCCCCAGCAGTAGACCCTAGGAGATATGGACATAGGGGTCGGGCAGAGGGAGAGGAGTTCAGATAAGGGTCTTGGCCCCTGGTGCTTCTCAAAGGGCTGGGAAATGCCTGGGAATTCCCAGTTGTCCTGGGAAGTCTGGAATTAAAACATGTTACTACTGGCAGTATTGGTGATGATACTGGCAATAACCATCTTCATAGATTAAAAATAGGCCCCAACCTGGATGTACTGAGTTTCACACTCTGCAGTAGAGGAAATGGCCCACTATTTATAGCCTTTGTTTTGAAAAATCTCCCTCCCCACATTCTTCTTTTCAACTTAAAGACCTATTTTGTCCAAAAATACAGCATTCTTCCACACAGTCCCATCATGCTTTTTAAATATACAGGTGATCCTGAGGAAAACGGTTCTTACGTGTCTTAGTTGGTTTGGGCTGCTCTAACTAAATACCAGAGACTGGGTGGCTTATAAACAACAAACATTTATTTCTCACAGTTCTGGAGACTGTGTCTGGTGACAGTCCTCTTCTGGGTTGCAGACTGCCAGCTTCTTACGTAGTAGAAAGCACTAGGGGCGCTCTGGAACCTCTGTATAAAGGATTAATCCCATTCACGAGGGGCCCACCCTCCTGACCTCAGCATGTCCCCAAGACCCACCTACTAAAATACCACCACCTTTGGGGATTAGGATTTCAACATATGAATTTCAGACCAAACATTCAGACCATAGCACTAAATATTCTTTTTTAGTCTTATAGTACTGTCATCCAGCGTCACCAAATTACAGGCTCTAAAAGCTGAAAAAAGCAACATTAAATAAAAAGGAATTAATAAAATAATATGAGAGTAACTTAAAAATAAGTCAAGTTTTAAAATTAATCATCATAACCAACAGTTATGAAAAGATAAAATAAAAACATTGATTCCTAATCCTCCCAACCCACAACTTGAATTATTTAATCTTTTGTCTCTCCTTCCAGTCCAAATCCATAATTCTACATGTTTTCTATAGTTATAATGACAATAGGCTTATATGCTATATTTTAAATTTTTTGCTTTAATGCAATGCAAATAATTGAAACTTTGTATGGGAACTGTGTTTATGGGAGAGCAGCTTCTTAAAGAAATTACATTTTATAGAATATCCTTTTTATCCATTTTACAATGCCTATTAAAACATTGTGTTGCTAATATTGTTAGAGTACTATGATTAGATCATCAGGTTAACCCCCAAAGTTTTTTTAGATTACATTTTTATTGAAGTACTACAAAGTGTGTAGTAAAAAAAAAATCAAAATTACAGCAGTAGTTAATAGTGAAAAACATCCTCTTACTGTATCCTCCTTATTTTCAAACCTACATCTTTCAGGCAACCTCTTTTAACCTTTCTAAAAGTTTTGGTTATTCTGGTGGTATAAAAGGAGGAAAAAGTTTTCTTTCACCCTCTTATGTACCCTAACCAGGTCTGAAATTTAAACTGTCAAGGACAGAGTCAAAGGAGAAAAGTACAAAATTTATTGTTTTATGTGATACAAGATCCTTCATGAGGTAATGATGACCAAAGAAAGAGTTAAACCTGAGTATTTTATGCTAGGTTTGATGAAGTATGGATCAAACATTCAGACCATAGCACTAAAATGTTGTTACTGGTCAGAACACTGTTTTTTTCCCCAAAATCGTGTCTTGGAGGCAACGAAGAATGAAGCCAGCAGACAAGAGTATGGAGCAACCAGCAAAACTCTTTTAATGAGTGAAAGAGAAAGCTCCTGCTAATCAGGAGGGGCTCCAAGGGAGGATGCTGTCAGGGCTGTGGTTTTGGGGTTTACATTGCCTCCTGAGAGGAGGAAACCCCCCTTACCCCATCTACCCCAATAAAGAACTGAACTAATGACATCATAACTCACTCCTGATTGGCTGAAAGTAAAATGCTGCTTTTGCATAGGGCACAACCAATCAGAGCAGCTGAGGTCTGTCTAAGTGGCTGAGTTGGTTTTTTTGTGTGGTTTTTTTGAAACTTAAAAGAGTCCTAAACTTTTTCTGCCTGTGTCCTACTATCATCTGCCTCAGTGAGGAATATGATAGGTCAGAGAGTATTAGGTAAGTGTGGTAAACTGGGGGAAACTGAAGAATACTGAGTCAAGCCTCTTTGTCAGTATTCTTGGTGTTCCTTTGCCTTCAGAGGTGAGGATGCTGCTCCTTTCCTGCAGGTGAAGGAAAGAGAGGGCACCTCTTACCTGAGGGTTTTATGACCTGTTTCAGGGGTCCAGAGTGACCTTCCTGATTCTGCCTTTTTTTTTCCAAACTCCTTCAGTTTAAAATATTCAGTATGCCAAGGTGTCATTTTGAGGTTGCAGGTACTGAACCCCATAATTTCAACTGAAATGCTTAAAGTATCATTTCTTTGTTTATCAATTCTAGGCAATATCTATTGTCTCCTTTTTACTCCTTATTTCCCTTCCCTTCTGTCTCCTCATCTTGACAGTTTACCACCATGATTTTTCTTTATCTTTGTAACTGAATAATATACCCACCTTCCATTCATTAGTCCATTAATTCTGGAATTAATACCACATTGTTCTTTCCTTTTCCTCCTTTTCTTCTATCTTCCATCTTGTGCCATATCCTTGGAACTTGAGACTTGGCCTCCTACATCTTCAAAACTAGCAATGACATGTTGAATCCTTCTCATGTTTTGCATCTCTGATTACCTCATCTCTGACCTCTAGACCCAGACATAAAGGGCTCCTGTGATTAAGTCAATCTCACTTAGATAATCTCCCTATCTTAAGATCAACTGATTTGTGACCTTAATGGAATCTGCAAAATACCTTCACTGTAACGCCTAGATTAGGGTTTGGGAGAAGGTAGGATATTTTTGGCCTAATACTTTTACATTTACATGGCTGAAGTTGATAGCTATAATTCTGTACTATAATAATGTTTTTCATGATCTTTTTTAAGACAGGGTTTCTCAACCCTGGTATTACTGACATCCTGAGCTGGATAATTCTTTATTGTGGATATTCTCCTATACATCATAGGTGGGTTAGAAGTATCTCTGGCCTACAGCCAAGCATGCCTCCAAATGTCCCCTGGAAAAGGGGAGCAAAATTGCTCCTAACTCCATTTGAGACTCACTGATGTAGAATCTAAGGTAGATTCAAAAGTTGAAAACCAATGTAGTTGGAGAAATTCTAATGTGACCCCCAAAATTTCCTGCCTTGATATTTTCTAGACCTGCACAAAATTTCCTATACCTTCCCCCAAACCCTAATCTAGGTGATGCAGTACAGGCGTTTTGCAAATGCCGTTAAGGTCACGAGTATATTATGATAGGGAGATTATCTGAATGGGACTCACTTAATCACAGGAGCCCTTTATGTCTGAGTCTAGAGGTCAGAGACAGGGTAGTTAGAGAGATACAAAATATGAGAAGGTTCAACATGTCAAGGCTGGTTTTGAAGATGGAGGAGACCTAGTTCCAAGTCCCAAGGAATGCAGGTGGCCTCTAGGAGCTGGCAGAGGTCCCCAGCTGGCAGATTGCAAGGACATAGGGACCTTAGTCCTACACACACAAGGAACTGAATTTAGCCAGGAACAAGAATGAACTTGGAGCAGATTCTTCTGTGAAGTCTCCAGAGGGAATGAAGCCTAACCAGTATCTTGATTTCAGCCTTGTGAGGCCCTGCAATATAATGAGTCATAGGAAATACACATTTGGTCATTCATATGACCAAATATATATCTCCCAGGTATATTTGGTCTTCACCCACAGTTCCTGAAAACACTGCAGTCTTAAAGGTGAAATGGGTGTTTTGTCATGTTAATGAGAGACTTTTGGACCCCCACCCAAGGGCAGGGGATGGAGGCTGAATCAGCCAATGGCTAGTAATTTAGTCAGTCATGACTATGCAAGGAAGCCCTCACAAAACCCAAGAAGAGCTTATCGCTCTCGAATCCTGCTTCTCGTCAGGGAGACTAAGCTTGGGGAACCAGAATGCTCCTGTGTGCCATGGAGCCAGGCCCCAGGCTCCACAAGAATAGAACTCAGTTATTGGGGACCTTGCCCTATGTATCCCTTCATCTGACTGTTAATTTGTATCCTTTATGGTATCCTTTATTAAACTGATAAACATTAAATGTTTTTCTGAGTTCTGTGAGCCACTCTAACAAATTAATCGAACCTAAGGGGGAGGTCATTGGAACCTCCAATCTGTAGCTGGTAGGTCAGAAATACAGGTAACAGCCTGGGTCTTGTGACTGGTGCCTGGAGTGGGGGTGGAGGTCAGTCTTTTAGGACAGAGCCCTTCTGGTGAATCTGGTGCTATCTCTGGGCAGATAGCATCAGAACTGAGTTCTCTAACACCCTGCTGATATTCAAGAATTGCTTGGGTTATGCATGGAAAAACCCCCTCTCACATACACACACACACACTGGAAGAGGTTTAGAGCCGTAAAGGAGTTATACTACTATTACTGCTGTGTATGATACTATTACTGCTGTGTATAATACTTTCGTTGTATATGAAAGAACACATTGCAGACCCTAAGTAGAGAACCCAGTTACACCACATCTGGAGTTCTGATTTACAGATTGTGAGCTAATAAACGGGTGTTGTTTTAAGTGACTAAGTTTGTGGTACTGTTATACAGCCATAGAAAATTAACACGGCAATAGAAAGCACTTTAACCATCCTGACTATGTAAGTGTTGTTCTCTGACAGGTCAAATAGTGTTTTAGAGGTTAATGCCCTCTAACAATAACTGTGTGTAATTCACTATTTAGGCAACTTGAGCCTGGTGAAATTCAAATACAAACTTTCTGTATTATTCATGTGGTTTAAATACTTCTTTCCCAGATATGGTCAGACATTCAGGTTATTTATATCTGCTCTTCTTGTCTTTGTCAGTCAACCCACTTGACGTATCAGGGCTCCTCCTATAATTGCAGAGAATTCTCCGTTTGTGTATTTGAAGCTGTTCATAGTTTAAAGGGTTTTAAAAAATAGAGTCCTCATCCACCCTATTGCTGGGGAGAGCTGAGCCCTTCAATAAGTGTGAAATATCTGCTTCCAAATACCTAAAATTTGGCAATGGCCTTTCTCTCTGTCAGCTTTCTCTTTCTGAGATAAAAGGCTGCCTCTGTGTCCTGGTCCCCCTGGGTTGGTGGGTGAGTTTTGTATTTACTCCTTTTGATGGGAAAACTATTGAAGCTTTCAATTTATCTAGATTGAGAAGGATCTTCCATTTGTAGAGACATGGACTCTCTGTGTAGCACCATTAAACATCCACTAACAGATCTAGTCTGAATTGGATTAGTAAGAAGACAATCTAAAATGCCTTCTTCCATTCAGTCATTCCATGGAGCTTGACTAGTAAATGTGGGAAGGTGGGCAGAGATTCCCTAAGAGTGATATTAGTACCCTTCCCTGTGAGATACAGATTTTTATATTATCACAGAACAAACAGAACTATGACATATGTTTCACAATTTATATAACCAATTTGATGCTCTTTTGACAATTACCACTTCTTTCTTTTTACAATTATAAAATGCTTTCATCTGGTAAATTTAAGAGAACTTGAAACTCATCCCATCCTACCTCAAACACGTGATTACGTTCTTCCTCATCATTCACTGACAGGCAATTTGATTAATTAGCATATTGTAGCCTCTCCATTTTATTGCCATTCTACCTCTGCATAAACTACCAAAATAGTAAGCATCTCCTTACTTCATCCAGGGTTTAACACATACTAGGCACTCAATATTTACTGATAAAACATATGTAGTCAAGAGACCTCTCACCAGGCTAGGTACAATAAAAACACCGCCAAGGAACAGTCTTACACTCCTGTAAAGACTTCCCTACTGAAGAGTGAGAAGGATACAAAGGGCTAAAGTCTGCCAAGACTTGGCCTGGGAGAGTTCATTAAATAAAGCCCGTGTGTGGGGCTCCAGTGTTTTCAGGATGTTCTTAGTCTCAGAATTAGTCTGTTCCCTTCCCTACAGCTCTGACATCCACCTATCTATACAGAGGACTTTATCCTGTCCCTGTTCATCTTCCTTCCAGGGCATAATGATCTGTACCAGTGGTTAAAGAACCTTCTTGGCGGAGGAAGTAGAGCAGAAGACAAGGCTTCTGACAGATTGACTTTGCTAAACCCAGAATACAGTGAAGTCAAACTGTAAAGTCTGCAAGAAAACCTAGGTTAGGGAAGAAAATGGGATTGTGGTGGCCTTGGTGATTATGAAGAACGAAGAAAAGAGATGTTTCCCTGTTTGATTCTCTGCTTACAGGTCTACCCAAATGTGTCAAATTAAAAAGATGAAAATACCCGGGGTTAATGAGAATGTGGAGCAACTGGAACTATTGTGTGTGCTGGAAGGGG